ATATGTCTCTTTTAAAAAGTTAGAGTGATAGATTGGTTTTGAGGGCATTTTTGTAAACAAGCAATTCTTTTAGAAATTGTGCAACGCTTTAATGCATCAAACCAAACAATGGATAAGAAATATGTCATCATAACTAATACCAGCATAACTAATACAAGTATAACTAATACACCCTATTCAACATTATTCTTATGCACCCTACCAAACGACCCGTTAGTTCATTCGTGTATGAATTGTTAACTAGACGTGCTCGACGCGTAATGAAGCTTCTATAGCTGGATTACTTTCCTTAGTGCCACGTGTCTAACGCCCGACAAATTGTACGTATTCTATAGTTAGCGACTTCGTATCAATTAGGATTGCAATATATATTATATAAAAGGCATGATCGAAGAAAATGAAATTATAAAGAAAATATTTCATATATATATATAATCAGTTTTAAAAAATGGTTAGTCATGAAATTTTGTAACCACAATTCGAACTCGATATCCACAAGGACAACTCTCGGTTAAGCTTTTTGAACTTTCCAAACCTTCAAATTTTTAATTTTCGTCAATTCGCCGAACCCAGTAGCTTTTATCAAAATCTTATATTTGTCTCAAGAAATTATTAAATATGCACAAATTATTAATTTAGAACTCATTAACTTAAAAGAACTAAAATTCTGAACCCATAAACTTCAAATCCTGACTCCACATCTAAATAAATAACTATTTTTTTAATCCATTTTGACTATCACTAGTTTTCACTATAACCGGTTATTTCTCTTCCAACACGTCGAAAATGCCAAATATTCTATCGTTGGTTGATAAAAGACACCTCAAGAGTGTTACCCTAAAACAAGGAAAAAAGGTAGAAAAAAGAAAGAAGAAGATGAAATAAATTAAGAAAACAGCCGCCTGCGCTACATTTTAGGCTGTCTTTTTGAAAAATACAATCCAAAAAGGGAAATTATTACAACTAACACAATGATAATGTTGCTAAATTATATATCCAAAGAAGGGTAAGTTCTTTGTAGCTTCACGCAGCTAAATTCATACGTCCTTTTTTGTCTTTTACCCTCATAATCTTTTATATTATATTTCAAGTTGGCTTACATCATTGGTGATGGAATGATAAGTCAAACATATAGTCAAAGGCAGCTGAATAAAACAAATTTATTTAATATTCAAACTCAAATAGAAGAAAATAATAGCCTTGGTATAATATCTTCACCCACGATCGTTAGGTCCTGGGTTCAAGTTACGCTGGAGGGTAAGTACAGAAATACTATAGATCTTCCTAAATTGGGATGGAATAATTTTTTTTTTAAAAAAAAGCCAAACCATGAAACATTTCCTTCAAATTACAAAGATGAAAAGTAGATAAAAAGAAGAAAAATAAAAATTAAAAAACAGCCGCCCACGCTTCATTTTAGGCTGTCTTTTGACATTATAATCCAAAAGGGGAAAACTATTACAACAAACACATTGATCATGTTGCTGAATTGTATCCACATAAGGGTAACTTCTATGTAGCTTCACGCAGCTAATTTGCACATTATTTTTTGTTCTTTTATTCTTATAAATAATATTGGCCTTGCTCGGCATCAACAATATCTACCTAAGAAATATTGAGGAGAGATGATTAGGCAGTACATGACATGACTCCAACTCACAAATGACATGATATTAGATAGGAAAGTTTGGAGGGGAGTATTAAGGTCGTAGGTAGTTGGCGATTTCCTTCCCCGTTGAGGGTGTTAGGCTATTTGTTAGTGTCTTGCTTTGGTTTGATAGTGGTACTTATTGTGTTCATACTATTTTTCTACTTCGGTTTTCCAAGTACCTTTCCATTGTTCTGATTACTGATACTGTCTTTTCTATTTATTTTTTGATTCTTAGGTTACTGGCATTGTCTTCCTGACATATGTTGTTGTTACTGCTCCATTGCCTCTTTTTCATCTCCTTGTGACAAGGGTCTTTCGGAAACAAACTTCTCTATCCCCCGTAGGGGTAAGGTCTGCATACACACTACCCTTCCCAAACTCCATATGTGGGATTACACTGAGTTGTTATTGTTCTGGTTGTATTCTTATAAATAATCTTTAAAGTATTTCTTTTTAAGATATAGTTTACGTACTTCATTAGTTCATTGGTTACAAATGCAAAGTTAAACATATACTCCATATAGTCATAGACAGCCGTCTAATATTATAGTGTCATTTTTCTTTTACTTCTTTTTTTCTTTCAAGTGAGGGGAATTTTTCATTTTTCCTCATCAATTTTTTCTCTTGTTCATATGTATAATGATCAATTATCAGTAATTTCCGGGTTATGTTACGTAATTGTGATGACATGTGAATTAAGTATAAATATATAATTTTCTTAATTAATAAACTTTTCCGACTGCTGCTTTGTATGTGTTGCCTGATAACTTCTCGGTCTTTTTCAAGAAAAAAAATACAAGTGTGGTTGATATATATGATGAACGTTATGTTCTATAGAATATGTTTTTCATGAATTTTTTTTTATTTTGAAATATATTTTTTACTAGTATTTAGTTGGTGAGTAAATAATATATTTTAGCATGTTAATTATTAGCAAACCGCGTAATGCTATAGTGAAATATTTGAGTATTATAGACTAATAACAATGTATAAGTGTATACAGTTAGAGCAAGTGATATATATGACATGAAAAGCTAAAATAATATTAAAGTAAGAAAAATTAAAATTGGACAAGCAAATTGGGATGAAAAAGGTAATAAATACTCTCTGGTCTAATAAATAAAAGTTAATAATCTAAGCGCCGAAGTTAGTCACTAAGCGTCTTTCTATCGATATTTATACGATTTTTATTTTTTTTAACCGTTAAGATAGTGTACACACGCAACGTGCGTATCATAAAACTAGTAACAATGTATAAGTGCATATAGTTAGAGCTAGTGATATATATGACATACAAACAACAACAATAACGACCCGGTTAAGTCTCACAGGTGGGGTTTGGGGAGGATAGTGTGTACGCAGACCTTACCTCTACCCCGAAGGGATAGAGAGGCTGTTTCCGATAGACCCTTTGCTCAAGAAGACGAAAAAAAATAATATATCAGTAACATCAACAAAAAGCCATAGAAATAATAACATTATCACAAGAACCAGTAAATAGATGGAAAACAGACACTATGATAATGGAAGAGTAGTGTAAACACAACATGTACTAAAATAATTTTAAGGAAAATGACTTCCGTCAATATGTGAAAATGAAAATGTTTTTGTAACAACAAACTTTCGCATTGAGAAAAATAAATAATCAAGACTAGAAAATTGCGTAACAAATGTAGTATTTGATTTCAATAAATGATGAGTGTTATTATCTCTATGGTATTCCTCTAATTCTTCAAGAATGTAAAGTATCTTGATGAGTGTGATTTTGATTTAATTCAAGGGCTTGTAAAGCTTGGTCTTGAATCTTCTTCTTGAACTTGAATTTGGATTTGATGACGAACAAATAATTTGATCTTGAACGCCTTGGTATTTGATTTACCTTTGTTCTTAATCTTGAGCTTGGACTTGTAGCTTGAGTGCTTGAACTTGTAGCTTGCAAAGAAAATTGCTGCCTCTGATCTATGAGCTCTCTACTTGCTTCTTGTTCTTAATTGTGGTCCTTTCCACCTTTATGGAGATCTTTATTTATAGTTATAGGGAATGGTGTCGCCTTGCAATTTGATTGGTATAGAACTAACCGATGTTATCTAAACACTTGGCACAACTGTATTGGTTGTTAATTTGACTTAGCGTGCCATCCTTTTCTTGACACATGTCATAATTTTATAGTCTCATTTATTTGATTTGGATTGCCACATTATTTGACACATGGCATGACCGTGAGCTTTAAGTCGTGCTACTATCTATTTGGACTTTGAGCTTGTAAAATGGGCTTGTCTTTCGGAATCCAACTAAATGGACCAGTCCAAATAAAATAGAACTTTCATTTAAATTCATAGTAGACTTAAACTGTAAACATATCACGGGCTAACCAGTTTTTGGACTGGTCATTTAAAAATAGCCAGCGTTTGTAAAGTCAATGAAAAGTAGCCACTATTTTGCTGCAACAGGGATATGTTCAGCATAATATACTGGAGATTGGAACCTCTGTATATGAACTTCCAGCATATTATACTGGACCGGTATATTATACTGGAACTCCAGTATATTATGCTGGAGTTCTAGTACATTTATGCTGGACCTCCATTATAATATGCTGCTGGAACTCCATTATAATATGCTGGAGTTCCATTATACTTATGTTGGAACTCTAGTATATTATGCTGGAGTATTTTTCAGATTTTGAATAGTGTTTTCATTCAAATTTATCTTTACATGAAAAGTGGCTAAATTTCGATTACTTTTTGAAACTATGGCTATTTTTGAATGACCACTTGTAAATCTGGCTATTTTTGAATTTGTCCACTTAAATTATTAAACTGGATTTGGGCTTGGTATTTCTTAAATCTAGCAATTTGGCCAAATCTAATATTGACTTGAATTCCATAAAATTTAACATGCTTACAGTTTTTTTAAAAAAGTATTTTTTTTATAACAAAAACCAGAAAATGAAGGAAAAATATTTTCCTAAAAAAGTGACTTCCATCATTTCATACATCTTAATGTAAGTAGTGTATGCTATTTTAGATCACTTTAGACATTGTAAAATTGGATTATAAAATTGCGAAAACATGATTCAAGAGCTTCAGTAACTCTTAAAAAACTTGTATCTTAGCTTGTCGAAGTAACACGAACCCTTGAGAAAATTCAGAAAAAAAAAAGGGAAAGCCATGACCATCTTGTATCATGATGAATTTTTGAAGTTTTATTTACTACAAACCCTGCAACTACAGCATATAAGCAAAAATTATGCATTACTATAATTTAAAAATACATGACTAAGCTCAGCTAGCAAAAACAATCTGAATGAAATTTTCAGATTCGGTTAGCACATCACATGTCCACAATGAATGTAATATCCAAACACCAAAAATAACTCAACTCTATAATACACAAAAATGTTATGTTATTTTGTTAATTACAAAAAAGACTACTACACATTTTTCATGAGCAGGGAAATGTACATAGACAACCTCAGGACAAGCAAAATGTGAATGCTTCTTTAGTAGATTGAAATGACACAAGTACTAAATCTTGAAAAACTTCATCGCCAGTAGCCTGGTGCTGGTGCTGGTGCTGGTGCTGGCGCATAAGCTCCAGGAGGATAATTACCTCCGGCTGGTGGGTAACCAGGAGCCGGATAACCTTGTTGCGGTGGTGGTGGTTGACCGTAAGGCGGTGGTGCACCATATGACGGAGGATATCCAACTGTGGGCGCGTACGGCTGATCAAGTCGTGACATCTGCTGAACTGGTGGCACTGTCATTGGACCAAACTCGCCATCTCTTTTGTCCAATTCAATCTTGTGTTGTGTCTGCAATCTCAACAAACAATAGCAAGCTTAAATGATAAAACTATTAGAGTCAAACCTCTCTATAACATCCTCGTTTGTTCTAGATATTTTTGGATGTTATAGTGAATTGTTGTTATAAAAAATATATGTTATAATAGAACATGAAATTTGGTTCCGGAAAAACTTGGCTTTTATAGTGAAGTACTGTTATATAAGGATGCAGTTATAGAGAGGTCTAACTGTATATCTTTCACAATTAAGTTTCGCCTGCTTACCTGCATGCATGCACAAACCCTGCAATCAAATGCAGCAAATTTAGTACTGCAATTAATCTTAAGTTGTTACTTAAACAAATAGCGTGTGATATGATGAATGTGCAGAGCTTACGAGTAATAAACTGTGTCAGACATGCATGTTAACACATGAGCAAGCTCCTCAATTTCGTCGTCTCCAGTAACTACAGCCAGAATTCTACATAGGCAAGCAAGATATCCGAGGACGACCATGAAAGCCTAAGTAGCAAGGAATTAAGAAATGTCTATTGATCAAATTGCATTCAAAATTATACTATGGACTAATTAAATGAGGAAGATTTAGAGGAATTACTATAATGCAATTATCACATTTCGTCGTTTTTATGTTGAGTTCATCTTGTAACAAGAAGCGAGTTGAGCTCACTGATGTTCCAAAGCAACAACAAACCTGGTGGTTAAAATCAATAGATCAGTATCACATTAGAGGTAAAGTTGTTGTCATTTGACCAGGAGGTCATGGGTTCAAGCCGTGAAAACAGCCTCTTGCACTGTAAGGCCGCGTACAATAGACCATTGTGATCCAACCCTTCCCTGGATCCCGCGCATAGCGGAAGCTTAGTGCATCGAAATGCCTTTTAATATCACAGCAGAATTAATCACGAATATGCAGCATTTAGTGCCTAATTAAAATGAAGAAACAGTTTAATTTTCTGACCTCAGTTGCAAGGCAAAATTCAGGGCAACGACTTTCTCCACATCTACCACTGCAAGGCATATAACCAGCGCAACACTTATACCTGTCGCAAACAGATATTTGTTAATAAGAAAGGAAATCTACATAATGTATCCTCTCTCCAAAATAATAACCGACGAAGGTATATATTCTGTATATTAATATATAATATACATATTTTATACATAATACCATAATTAGTGTATATTTTTTGTATTTGGCTATCGACTGTAATTATTTTTGACAGACCGATTAAATATGTTACTGAGAAAGAGAAAGTGCCTTACATACCTTCTCATATCACCATATAAAGCTCGTTTCCGAAGCAAATAGGATGCACATGGTGAACTGCAATTGATATAAAATGGTGGAAGATATTAATGTTTTCAACAATTCAAGAAAATTAAGGAAATAAACACAAATCAAGGTAGCAAATCAATAGCATTGGAGGAAAATAACAGAGGTAAATACACAACTCACCACCACAAGGCAAAACACCAATCTGCAAACAAAATATGAAAATTTAAACGGTTAGAAACACAAACAAACACATATATTTACACCTTTGATTCTCATATACAAAATACTCCATTTTGTTTCAAAAAAGAACAATGTGGCTTTAAATACTAGGATCAAATGATTCAATTTTAAGCTATATTGCTCGGATCCAATTCCAAAAATGTTGCGTCTGATCCTCTAAAAATACATAGTTCTTGGAGGATCCAACACACAACGAGCGATTTTATTAAAGAGTCTGAGGAACTAGATTTTCAGTATCAATTCAAACTTACAACGTTATTATAAATAAAAAAATTCACATATATCTTTTATTAATGAAAGCATTAGAAAAGATTGTTTGACTCTTCAAATAGTAACAATGTCACATAAAACGAAGCGGAGATCAGTGCACCAGAAATATACATCCGGGATCAACTTTAATGGTGTTCAAGAGATCAGTGCGCCAGAAATTTTGATAAAATTCACGATTCTTCGCCTTATCAATGAGTGCTTGTGATGACGCCATTTTTTCTTCACTCTTTTGTTCCTCAACTATCTCAGATTTACTAATGAATATGAAATAATATGATATTAAACCCCTTTTAAAATATTATTATAAGAAAAGTTAGGACCTTCGTCGATGAAGACGAAGGGTCTTTTAGCAAAGAGCCAAAATCAATTCTATTCTCAATTAGTGCCTTTTATATTGAGATGAAAGCAAATGTTACAAAACCGTCGAATTTTCTCCATTTTTCACGGTGGGTCATTGAATGAATCTTGTACACAAAAAAGTTTCTATGGCCTAAACTTTATTTTGGTTAAAGAGAAATTCAACTCATAGTCAAGTTGTCTCTCTTTTCTCTGCCCTTTGGCTGTTGTATACAATAAATCGTTTTTAAATTATCAAACAAACAAACATTCATCAAATTCTAAAACCAACTAATGTTTTATTTCAATTGGCAAATGGCCGAAACCAAATGACTTTTTTTAACTCCATCACTCCATGCAGCTTTCACCAATAACAGTACAGTACAGCTTGTTTGGATAGTTATTACCATTGTATTGTATCATACAATTACTTTAAATACAATATTTATGTTGATTGTTATTTAAACTTTATTATATCGTATTGTTAAATTCGTTGTTAAAAGAGCCACTTTATGTAACGATCAATTTGGTGTGATCACGTCATTGCCTTATTTCTTCTCTTACCTTGCTCTTCCTTATTACTAAATGATCCTATTTTATCTTTTTACCCTATCTTATTATATAATAATTATACTTTGTACCCTACTTTTTCTTTGTAATATTGCAAGTTTGTTCTTCATATTGCAGGTGTATGACATCATGAAACGACGATAAATAATTCAATCTATCCAAATGATATATTCATCAAAATAATACAGTACAATATAATACGGTACATTAGTACAACTATCCAAACAAGCTATTAGCTAGTAAGAGACAGAATAATGGGGAACCCCACTGAAGTGAAGAGAGGGTAAAGATCGGAAGAAGAGAAGGTACAAGATAAAGTCTAATAATGGTGAGAGAGAGAGTATGAAGAAGAAGAAGAAAACTCAGTTTACGAAAAAGAAGAAAGCCCACTTTACCGTAAAAATAGCACGAGCTAATTAGTTTTCGGACTGGTCATCAAAAAATATCCAACGTTTGCGAAGTTTTAAAAAATAGCCATTATATTCCTGCAATACAGAAAGTTCCAGCATAATATACTGGAGATTGGTGCACCTGTGTATGAACTTCCAGCATATTATGCTGGAACTCCAACGCGCGAAAAGTTCCAGCATAATATACTGGAGATTGGAGCACATGTGTATGAACTTCCAGCATATTATGCTAGACCAGTATATTATGCTGGAAGTCCAGTATAATATACTGGAGTTCCAGCATAATTGTTACGCCCCGCAATATTACGTCGATATTACGTCCCGTAGTATTAAATTACGATGATATTGCACCATGTAGTATTGTACGTTGAAATTATCGTAAGGTAATTGACATTAGTCCAATGAAAAAGATTATTTGGAGATTAAAAGGATTATGCTATTTTAAACAAATGATGAATAAATTCGTGAAGATGAGTGTCACGACACGGATTTCCCACCCTCGGGAGTCGTGATGGCGCCTACTAATGGGAGCTCGGCAAGCCAAACCTTATCTACTTGCTGCACTTTTATTTTTGTTTCGTTTAACAAACACAAGCCGATAATATGATAATAGCGAAATTTTAAATAAATAAGCGAAAGTCAACAATTATAAATCTTAAGGGTACGTCTATTACAGCTTTTAAAAACCTTAAATACCCCAAAACCTGGTGTCACAGTGTCATAGACTGTCTAAGAGTTACTGCATACAAGGTCTGAAGAAAATACATTACACTGTTTCTGAACAAAGGTAATGAAACAGAAAATAGAGATAGAGGGAGACGCCATGGCCTGCGGACGCCTGCGGGTCTACCTTGGGTCTCCGAGTGGACTGAAGGAAGCCCTCCAACTATTGTCCGAAAGCTGCTCCTGGATCTGCACACAATGCAGAGTGTAGTTTCAGCACAACTGACCCCATGTGCTGGTAAGTGTTTAGCCTAACCTCGACGAAGTAGTGACGAGGCTAGGACCAGACTACCAAATAAACATGCGCAGTTCATATATATATACAGCGGAAAAGAAATACAGAAATAACCAGTCAATGTGGGAGGGGGAAACATGCTGTGGGGGAGTTAATAGTTCCGAATAGAAAGGCATCAAGTAAGGAAAGAAACAACATAACTAGAATATAAACAAGGAAGCGGAAATCAACAATTTGCACGGCATCACCCTTCGTGCTTTTACTCTCGTTTTCACCAAAACAATACACGACATCACCCTTCGTGTTTTACGCTCTTCCTCACCCAAACAACAATCATAAGGCAAATAGGGTAAGGGGATCTATAACCTCGAAGTAAATCAAATAACAACAAGTAATGAAAGAAACAACATAACTCGGATATCAACAAAGAATCAGAAGTCCACAAATGCACGACATCACCCTTCGTGCTTTTACTCACGTCCTCACCAAAGCAATCATATGATAAAAATATGCACGACATTACCCTTCGTGTTTTTCTCTCTTTACTCACCATATAATCAATAAAATCGGCACGGAATGGTACATCGTGCGGCACGACATCACCCTTCGTGCTTTACACTCTTTCCTCACAATAACAAACAATGCACGACATCACCCTTCGTGCTTTAACTCTCTTCCTCACCCAAATAATAATCACAAACAATATGGTAAGGAATTAAAGGAAATTTTGCAATAAGAGTCCCGGCAAGGGAACAACAAGTCACCAATTAAATCCCGGCAAGAGAACAACAATTAAACAATTAAATCCCGGCAAGAGAACAACAATTAAACAATTAAATCTCGGCAAGGGAATAACAAATAAATCAACAATAGCCCGGCAAGGGTGACAACATAAGGATCTCTTCTCTTTCTCAATTTTACTTTACAATTCACTTCACAACTCGAGCCAACGCTCTAGAGGTTTAATTGCTACTTATACTTTCACAATTTCACTACACAACTTGAGCCAACACTCCTCAATGTTCATAGGTCACAATTCTTCTACAAACTTTATACAACAATTAGAAATCTTCACCAAGACATGACTAATACTATGAAATCATGAAAATCACAATATAAGACTCACGGTCATGCTTGACACCAATGTATAGATACTCGGCACCATGCCTATACATCGTACTCGGCAAGAAGTAAATAGAAAATAGGACACAATTCCTAATCCCTCAAGCTAAGGTTAGACCAAACACTACCTCGATGCAACGAACACAATTCAAGCCTCAATTACCGCTTTACCTCTTATTTCCACCACCAACTCGCTTATATCTAGCCACAATTTGCTTAACGATATTAATAAATGCTAAATGAATCAATTCTAATGCATGAAAATAGGTTTTATAAAGATTTCCCCAAAAAGTCAAAAATCAACTCCGGGCCCGCTTGGTCCAAACCCGAAATTCGGACCAAAACCCGATTACCCATTCCCCCACGAGCTCAAATATGTAATTTGTTTTGTAATCGGACCTCAAATCGAGGTCCAAATCCCCATTTTTGTGAAAACCTAGGTTCTACCCAAAACACCCAATTTCCCTCATGAAAATAATTGATTTGAAGTTGAAATAATGTTAAAAGATGTTAATGATTGAAGAAAACTAGTTAAAAATGACTTACAATTGATTTGGAGAAGAAAGGTTATTTGAAAAATCGCCTCTTATGTTTTTGGGGTTTTGAAAAGTGAAAAATAACTGAAACGTCCGTTTAAATATACTCCTCTCAGACCCTCTCCGCGGGCCGCATAAAAGGACTGTGGCCACGGAGCTCCACCGCGGACCACAAGAAATCGAGCGCGACTGCGGAGGCTTGGGCTTGCTCATCGCGGACAAATCCACTGCGGTCGCGAAGTCCCACCGCGGCCACGAAGTTTCCACCGCGAGACCTGGCTTCAGGGACCTGCAACTTCTATGAATCTGCAACTTTTTTCTAAGTGTAAAAACATCCCAAAACTCACCCGAGCCCTCGGGGCTCCAAACCAAATGTCATACTAACTCGAAAACATCATATAGACCTACCCGTGTGATCACATCATCATAATAACATGTAAAATCATGAATTAAACCTCAAAACTCAACATTTTCATCAAGAACTCTCAAAGTTCATAACTCTTCAACCGGAAGTCCAACTCACGTCAAATAAACTCCGTTTTTCACCAAATTTCACAGTTATCTTTCAAATACTATAACAAGTTTGTACCGGGCTCCGAAACCAAAATACGGGCCCGATAACAATGGTTTCAAACATTAATTCTTTTCTTTATTCCTTAGATAATTCAGTAAAATAATTTCTTTCAAAAATTGATTTCTAAGGCTTGGGACCTCGGAATTCATTTTCGAGCATACGCCCAAGTCTCATATTTTATTGCGGGCCTCCTGGGATCATCGAAACATGGATCCGGATCCGTTTGTTAAGAATGTTGATCAAAGTCAACCATAATCAAAGTTTTAACTCTAAAATTTCTATTTCTCATATTTTCACATAGAAAGCTTCCCGAATATAGGTCTGGACCACACACGTAAATCAAGGTGGGGGTAAAAAGGGAGGTTTTTAGGCCTCGAAACACTCAATGCACTTGCAACATAAGTGATGTCCTTTTGGGTCATCACATTCTCCACCTTTAAAACAACCGTTCGTCCTCGAACGGACATAAGAAGGAAGTACTTGAGTTGGGGAAAAGATGGGGATAACGGCTCTGCATATCGGACTCGGACTCCCAGGTCGATGCCTCAGGAGGATGACCTCTCCACTGAACACGAACCGAAAGAAAACTCTTCGATCTCAATTGATGAGTCTGCCGGTCTAGAATTGCTACCGGCTCCTCCTCATAAGACAAGTCCTTGTCCAACTGGATAGTGCTGAAATATAACACGTGTGATGGATCGCCGTGATATTTCCAAAGCATGGACACATGAAACACTGGATGCACGACTGATAAGCTCGGTGATAACGCAAGTCTATAAGCCACCTCTCCCACTCGATCAAGAATCTCAAATGGACCAATGAACCTAGGGCTAAGCTTGCCCT